AGCATTGAGGGCAAATATAGATATCATTCATGTCATGTGTCCAAGTTTCATAGAACATATAGACAATCTCATCTATAAGCTTTTTGGAGTCATAAACATAGTTTCATGAACATGCATTCTTTTCAATAATTCATAAGCTGATCTTTTCAAAGCTTAAGCATCTTCAAATTCATTTACATCTATTTCATAAAGAGAAGACATGCATATTTTTATAAATTCATTTTTCATAATTCAAACCCACATCACATCATCATAATTGGAAAACATGAGATTTATATGGGTTCATGGGGAAACATCATAAAAATCATAGTATTTCATCAATTCATGCATATTAGAACACAATTCAATCATTTAAATCAACTTGGAAGAGAACCCATTTCAATTAAAGAAAACCCTAACCCAATTGGAAATTTTTACCTTTGAAAATAGGAGAATTTGGGAACTCCATTATTAAAAAGAATTCATGAATGAAAACTATCATACCTGACTATCAAAGCCCAAAGAAATTGAAGAATGAAAGCTTGATCTTGAACCCTAGCTTGAATCTTCTTCTTCTTCAAGTTTCTAGAGAGAGAATTATTTTGGGGAGGAGATTTGATCTTCTTTTGTAAATTTTGGAAGAATGATTTGAATGAACTAATTTGGAGGTTGAAAACACTTATATAAGGGTCTTAGACATAGGCAAAATGACGTAGTATATGAATAAGATAATTAGGACAAGTTTGAACTACCCCTTAAATAACTGCCGACCCTGCGACCTACAGATCTCGACCAATGGATTGTGGTATGACCGATAGCCCATCCTGTCGGTCCGTCGTTCGATTCAAAAACTAGAAATTTGGGGTCATGAACCACGAACCATGGTTTGATCGACGGTACGTTGGTCAGGCCGTGGTTCTGGGTTTCTGAGTCAAGGCTGGGGTGACCAACTGTTGACACCAAATTTTTGAATTGTCATACCCTTTAAAATGACATTTTTTTTAAATTTGGGTCGTCATATCCTTCAAAATGATATTTTCTTAAATTTGGGTAGTCATACCCTTTAAAAAGACATATTTTTAAATTTAGGTCGTCATACCTTTCAAAATGACATTTAAAAAAAATTAATTTGTTATCTCAAATAAAATGATGTTTTTTAAAATTGGTTTGTCATGCCATTCAATTTGACACTTTTTATTTTGTTATTCCATTTCAAATTGACATTTTTTTATTTTATTCATGATGTTATTAAGTTTGAATTATTGCATTGGTTAATACCTTGTTCATATGAGGCCATGTTTGCATAATTTATGTTGCATTTATGTTATATTTGTTACTAACATTGTTATTGCAGATATTGTGATACACCATTCATATTAAGTTCAAGATTGGGTTATCATCTCCCTTAAAATGGCACGTTAAGTTAAAGTTGGATCGTCCGCCTTTCAAAGAGATATGATGGATTGTCACCTCGTTCAAAGTGACATGTTATATTCAAATTAGGTCGTCCGCCTTTCAAAGAGACACGTTGGGTTGTCACCTCGTTCAAAGTGACATGTTATGTTCAAATTGGACCGTCCACCTTTCAAAGAGACACGTTGGGTTGTCACCTCGTTCAAAGTGACATGTTATGTTCAAATTGGACCGTCCACCTTTCAAAGAGACACGTTGGGTTGTCACATCGTTCAAAGTGACATGTTATATTCAAGTTGGGTCGTCCGCCTTTCAAAGAGACACGTTGGGTTGTCACTTCGTTCAAAGTGACATGTTATATTCGAGTTGGGTCGTCCGCCTTTCAAAGAGACACGTTGGGTTGTTGCCTAGTTCAAAGTGACATGTTATGTTCAAGTTGGGTCGTCCGCCTTTCAAAGAGACACGTTGGGTTGTCACCTCGTTCAAAGTGACATGTTATGTTCAAATTGGATCGTCCGCCTTTCGAAGAGACACGTTGGGTTGTTACCTCGTTCAAAGTGACATGTTATATTTGAGTTGGGTCGTCCGCCTTTCAAAGAGACACGTTGGGTTGTCGCCTCGTTCAAAGTGACATGTTATCTTTAAGTTGGGTCGTCCGTCTTTCAAAGAGACACGTTGGGTTGTCGCCTCGTTCAAAGTGACATGTTATATTCAAGTTGTGTTGTCCGCCTTTCAAAGAGACACGTTGGGTTGTCACCTCGTTCAAAGTGACATGTTATATTCAAGTTGGGTCATCCACCTTTCAAAGAGACATGTTGGGTTGTTGCCTCGTTCAAAGTGACATGTTATGTTCAAATTGTGTCATCCGCCTTTCAAAGAGACGCGTAGGGTTGTCACCTCGTTCAAAGTGACTTGTTATTCACATCATCCTCCTTTCAAAGAGGTACACTACCTTCATTGTGCAATTTTGAAAGTAACATCGAAGGTATGTGAATGTTGTTCAGTTTACAATTAATCCTTGCCTTCTATTTATTATTTTCAGCACATTGGCGGATGTAGAGTATTGTTCAAAATCTCTACTAACGTCTCATATTGTTTTGTTCAAAGTTTATCAAATTAAATTTGGGTTCGTCAACTTTGTTTGACCAGAATCTCTTTCATCGATCCTAATCAAACAAATAGGCAAGTTGTTGACACCAAATTTTGGTATGATATTTCTAAAGTTAATATTTTTTAAGTATTTTATTTTTTAAATAGTTCAAAATACATGTTTTGTCATTTTAATGCAATTTGTTAATAATTATCCTTATTCTCAAAATATTAGGATTTTTATCAGTTAATTCTTTTTATATTATTTTGTCACAGTCGGTTAAATACGTTCAAATATTTGTTCATTTTTTATAACATCATTATTTCTGTTAAATTGCAATTTTTATATGTCATTGGTTACGTTTGTTACATTTTTTCATATTCATTTTATCTGTTACATTTGTTAATATTCATTTTGATATTTTGCACAGTCCAAAAATTCATTTTGATATAGATAATATTTCATACACATATATTTTATTAACCGGTGGTTTTGGCCCACGATATTAAGATAGTAATATTGTACTATTGATAGTTTTCAATTTCCTATTTAAAGAATAGTTTGCTTATTAAATTAAAAGGTGGTGGATAAGATTTTAGGAGTAATTTTCAGATTTTTTTATTGTTCATTATTTTCCAAGTTCACCGGAGCTCTGCCGAATTCCGATGAGTCCACCACCAAAACCCCGTTCATTTTCTCATTTTTCTGGCCGTCACCAGACCCAAAACTTCTCTTCTTCGCTGCTGGAAGCCGCCAGCAGCTCTTTCCAAACGACCAGCTACCACCGGAAACGAACCACAGATCTACCGGACCAAAATCCCCCTTTGTTTTCTCCTTCTTCCAGCAAAATAACCGCCAGGCCAACCAAACCCCGACCAGAATCAACAACAACCTCCAAATCGCCACCCAAAGCTAACCTGCAAACAGCTACCAAAACCCCAAACAACGGCTCAAACTCCAAGCTCCAAACCAGATCCCACGCCGCCAGTCCCCTTCCCCTTTCCCTTCACGATTTTTCTGTTATTTTTGCAGGTCCAGCGCGAACCAGCAGCTCCCACGCGGCTGACAGCCGCCCAATAACTACCAGCTCGACCAAACAAAAACAAAATCGAGCTCCACAACCAGAAAACTGCCTCCATTCCTCACATTTTCCGGCGAAAAGCAACATCACCGCTCAGTAACGAGCTTTAAGCTCTGGCGAATAGTCGCCAACAACAATAAATCCACAGCTCCCATCAAAGGCGGGACGAATCAGCTCCATCAGAGCAATAAACAAACACCACCGATGAGCACCACACGCCGCCGCAACGCAAACTCTGGAGACTCAAAGAGAACTCCGTCAGTTAGGTTCCCTCTCAGTCTGATTTTGTTCTAAATATTAATTAATACTTGGATTTGTTTTGCTCTTTATTCTTAATCATTATTGACTTGTATGCTGGTTATGCTTTTGTTGAGTTGAATAGTTTTTTTTTTTTTTACTGTGTTAAGTGGTATTTTTTTGTTAATCTCATCTTCTCCAGGGTGTCTTGGCTTTATTTAGCCAATTTTTTTGATTTATTTATCTCCGTGATATGTTGCCTTAATTATGTTGCTACAGCTATTGTTATGTGCTATTATCTTATGATTTGGTCCAAAGATAAAATTTGTTAGTTTAGATACTTTATTGTTGTTGTTTATGTTTTTGTTATTTTAAATATCTCATTATTTTATTTCTTCTTTTACATTGTAATTTGTTGATTTTGATTTTTAGTTTGCTTTTTATCTGCTTTTGCTCAAGTCTTGAATTTTATTTATTATCTTATTAACGTTTTTTTAATACTATAAAATGAGCTATGCAGTGATTTGGATTTTGGTTATTTCTTTATTATTTTTGGAATGTTATCTATTGTTTTGTCGTTATTTTTTATCATTATAATGTTACATATTCTTTGTTTAATGATTTGGTGTGGAAATTTGTTCCAATGAATTTTATATTTTGTTACTGTTCATATATTGTTGGTTTATATTTAGTTACTATATTATAAGATTTTGTTGCTATTATTGTTTATTGTGTTGTGTTGTATGTACAATGACCAATGAAAAATCTCTCTATCGATTTTGGAGGTTTTTCCAATGTTAAAAGACGGAAATTTGGTTTATGTTCATATTTTGTTTGTTAAAATGGTCGATGAAGAAATTATCGTTGATTTTCAAGGCTTTCCATGTTAATAAGACGGGTTTTTACTTTTAAGTTATGCTTTGATCATTTATTTTTATTCATGTTTATTTATTACTAATATTTTTACTATGTGTCTTTACATGTACACAGAGTTGCTTCCCATTAAAGCTATTCGAATGAAATTCGAATTATATTCTTTATTCATTATTTTGTATATATCGATGTTAGTCAAGCTTTAGGCCGTTTCTTATATTATTGTTTCATTTTATTACTTGTGTAAATCACTTGCTTATTATACTTGTATATTTGTTTTTATCTCCTCCTCAATTTGAAAAAATGAATTCAGTCAGGACCCACAATTGTGGATTTCGAAGGATGCCTAACACCTTTCCTTCGGAATAACTTGAATCCCTTACCTAGAATCTTTGGTTTCGTAGACATTTTTATTAAGTTAGTTAATTGGTTTCCTAGTTTTCCTAAAATTAGGTAGCGACTCTCTCTAAACCCCTTTACCCTTTTTAAAATTCTTTCATTCTTTAAATTGTTTATTATTTTTTGGTGAGTCATCGCGACGTTGTGCCCTTTCGAAGGATGTCAACACCAACCACATACCACACCTACGGTCCGTGGTCGACCATCATCAATTGGCACCTACAACTTCCTGAAAACTGTTGCTTTGCCCTTTTCTGGATCCAGGGTGTTATAATTGACTTGTGGATGCACTATATGATATGATACAATTCTACATGATTATTAAGGATTTCGAGTTAGATTGATACTACCCTATTGATGAGACTACACAAACTATTGTGATGCATTGCATAGACATTGGATGGTAAATAAATGTTATGAGATTATAATATACATAATTATTTGAGTGACCAAGGATTTCTATGAGTTTTAGAATGAGTTATGTGATGGTTTGGAATAGTAGTTGAAATATTGTATGTGAAAGTTTGTGTGAAGTTGACTTTGGGTATGATTCAATTGTTATACCTCGATGGAAAATTACTTTTAGATTTTGAATTAGTTCTATCAGTCTTAAGTGTGACTCCTATCTGTCATGGAATGCTTAAATGAAAATAAAGGGAGCCATGGTTCATAATTTTTGAAGGCGACAATGTGTTGCTTAAAAGACTTTGATACTAGTGAAAGTTTGAGAGTAAGGTAAATGACTAGTGTGGTTATGATGTTTTGTTAGTATTAAGATGGTTGACTTCAGTGGAGTAATATGAGAAGTATGTGAGGTATGATACATTGAGTATGAGTAGGATCGTATTGGGGACAAGACTGGTGGATTGTGGGTAGCTAAAAATCAAAGAGATGGAGTCAAATGAGTGAAAATATTTGGTATGGACACTATGAAAAGAGTATCTTGTGTTATTTGACCTTGGTTCCGTACATTCTTTTGTGATCACCTACTTCGTTTCTGACATGATTTGCAGTATGATTCATTGCATATGTCCACGTGTGTTTCTACATTTATGGGTGAATCCCTAGTGGTGGATCGGATGTACCGATCCTCTTATGTCCTCTTGATAGGGTAGGATCCTTGGAAAGACTTGGTTATTTCAATTATGGTAGATTTGGTGTTGTTTGGGATAGTTAAAGTATACCAGTAGTTTACACGCACAACGTCGCTTATGAGAACTTATATAAGAGCTATAATGAGTTACAATTGTCTAGGAGTGTTGTTAGAGGTTCTGAATTTTGAAGTGTATCGCTTGTTGGGTGTTTACTTAATCATTTTCTTCTTTGGGTTAGATAAAAATTGATTCTCCCTTGATGAGTATCCGATATCTAAAGATTAGATTTTTATAACTTAAACTCGTGAAAAGATTGTGTTATGGAAAGGAAATCTTGATAATATCTGTGATGGTTTGTGCATTATGAGTGTGTAGTGATTGGTTCACGTTCACTACTAGTTGTAGCCAATATTGATTCAGAACGTTATCTTGGTTATATGAGAAAAAAAATTCATTATGATGGTTGTGTTATGGTCCAGTGGGTGGGTTTCAGTTTAGATTGACTTTATGGGTTAGTATGTGGCCTGATAATCATTTGTTTCTTTGTAGTTAATCTTGATGGAATGGTCTTAAGGAGGAGCTCACTTTGAGAGATGAACACCGATTGGAAGATCATAAGCCAGACTTTTGGTAAAGTTAGTTATTCTTCCTTCTCCTTCTTTATGCTCGAGGACGGACATAGTTTTTAGTGGTGAATTATGTAACGATCCATTAGTCTGTTTGAGTACTAGATCTATTTCTTTCATAAAAGAACCTTTTCATAAAATTTAAATGAGAATCTTAAACGATTAGTTTAACTGTGGTTATTTAGTCGACGTATATTTATTAAATAATTAATTTTTATTAATTGGTGGTTATTGGGCCAAATCCATAATTTATTTAATACCCTTACCACATGGCCATGTATATGAAGAAATTATTAGGAATTAATATTTATTTATTTAGTAGTCCATAATTATTTTCCATAAAGAATTAAAAGCAAGAAAAGAACCACACTTGTGCAAACGACACAGGTGCACGAAGAGAAACAAAGAAAAGAAGGCCTCCAGGTACGGAGAAATCCTTAACCATTTTTTTTATGCTGATATACGTAGATGTTGGTTTGATAATTAAGGCAAAATATTATTAGCATATAGATGTGATATTGTATGGCTATCGTTAGTGTAACATTCCAGAAATTTTTTGAACTAAGACTCGAACCATCCTTTGTGGTGAGTAAGATTTTACCGAGAAATTTAAAATTTCTTGAGTGTTAAGTTTACTTGTGTTGCACATTGAGTTCTAAAAACAACTAAAGAGAATTCGTTCAAGTTATTCGTAAGTTACTTAAGTTTAGGGTCAACTTCAAACGACCATAACTTTCAGTACGCGATTTGTTAGGTGACCCATAAACTATAAAAAGAAAGTTCTTTGAATTATCTTACCAACACCACCGAGTTTGCTAACTTTCGAGCTCGGATGAGTGAGATATGCCCTTTTGAAGTCAGACTGTCCAGTTAAGGAAAGTTACCCATAAATAGTGAGGGGTATTTTGGTATTTTCCTTACCCAATTAGATTTAATTCATTCTTAGTAAGGTTTTAGAAGTGTAAACTGGTTTAGTTCAGTTTTATAATCCTAATCTATGCTTAGGGTTTTAGTTGAGAGTTCGAGAAGAGAAAATAAGAGAAAAGAGGAAAGGATCAAACTGTTCGTCGAGATTCTTGAGTTTTGTTGCGGATTTTCGCCATGGGTCTAATCCCTAAGAGGTATGTCAGTTTTTCATAGTGTTGGGTTTGTTCACCCATACGTCAATCATGTTATTTTCAACGAAGTTTCGTTCTTGAAGTTGAAAAAATTTGAGTTCTTGATTTGTTTCTTGAAAGTATTGTTTCCGTTCTTGAATTAGGATGTTTTTAATGAATTCTTGAGATTAAAGTTAGTGAATTGAGGGTGGTTTGGAGTAGATTATCATGTACATAAGTTAAGTATTCGAATCTAAGTGCTTGGAAAAGAAACCATTCAATTCTAGGCAAATCGAGGTTAGAAAATGAGTAAGAAAAGATCAGGCAAAAAATAAGGTACCAGGTCCGCGTCGCGAACCTGTTCCTTCAGAGTGAAATTTTCCTCTCCGCGTCTCAGAGAGAAAGCGGAATCCAATGTTTTAAAAATTATTTCGTGATCAAATATTATAATTAATCTTTCCGTCGCATACTTGCTCCCATATAATGTTTTTTTGACCATTTCTTCTTATTAACTATCTAAAACTCATTTAATCATCACGATATCCTTCATACCACAAATCATAACCCTTGAATCCATAATTCAAATTCAAGGTAGAGTTAAGAGTCATGTCTTGAGAGTTCTTTCGAGTATTTTGAGAAAGTCCCTTTGAGTCTTTTTGAAGAGTCTTCTACAATTTCTAATTAATTTTGTTTTCAAGTACTCGAGTAAGTGAGTATGTGAATGAGGAGAATGTATTCATGAGTCTACATTATCATCACGAGATCCTTCATATCATTAATCATAAACTCCTTGAATCCATAATTCAAATTCAAGAGAGAGAGTTAAGAGTAGAATTCAAGAAAGTCTTTGAGTTCAATTATGAATCATTTGAGATCAACTATCGATTTGAGCTATGTTTTAAGGAAGCAAGTATGAGAATGAGAACAGTCATATACATGAGTTCCATATTGTTATGTAGACCCTTGAGTCGAGTCGTTCATGCCATAAATTCCGCATGAACTCTATAAGTTGAGTATCCTTGAGAAGAGTAGTATCTTCAAGTTCCTAAGTCTTGAGTATTGAGTTCCTAACCCTTTTGAGATTATATATCTAATCATGATACTATTATATGTTACTCATGAAGTCTTTGAGTTGAGTTGTTCATGCCCATAATTCCGCATGAACCC